CTGGCCTGATCACCCCTAACCGCCTCTGCCTCAGCCCTGCCACCATGGCTTTGTCCAGAAGGACCTCCAGAAGATCTCACAGTCTAATTAGCATATTACCCTTTTATTAGTATAGATAAGCAGTTCCCCGCCAGGTTGTGGGCCCCTGGGGCAGAGACAGTGTCTCTCTGGGTCTGTCTCTGATGTCCCCCAGCACCTGGCACAGACTGGGCACCAAAAACATTTAGGACCATCCTGATTTCAACAAAGCAACTGTTAAAAAAAGATCTTTTTGAGAAAAGCTGGGACGGTGGACTGAGCATTAGATGAGATTAAGGAATTAGTTTTGTTACACATGATAATGGTGCTGTGGCAATGTTTTTAAAAGTCTATCTGTTGGAGAGACATATTGAAGAATTTATAGGTGAAACAACATGGTGTCTGGTATTTGCTTCAAAAGACTCCAGCCAAAAATAAATAAATAAAACAAGTAAGCATTCCATGAGGGAACAAAAGAACAAATAAATGTCATTTGCATGTCTGTTCCTGTTCACAGCCTCAGGGCCTGCAAAGATGCTGGCTGTCCCGGAGGTGGGCCTGCAGGGGCTGTACATTGGTAAGAATCCCTCACCTCTGCCCCACCCACCCTCCACTTGCCCTTGTCTGGTTAGGGGTGTGTCTCCCAGAAGAAGTTCCTGAGAGTCTATGTGTGTGCAGGTAGGGTTAATGCACACAGGACTGTGTACGTAAGTGTGTGTGTTTGTGCACGCTTCACTCCTGTGTGCACACAGAACATATCTGTTCATGGGACCCTGTGCGCATGTGTGTGTGTGTGTGTGTGTGTGTGTGTCTGTGTTTGTTTCTGTCTGTCTGTCTATCTGTCTATCTGTTTGCTGTGGGCAGATCTCTGTGCACAGGGCCTTGTGTGAGATTGTGTATATCTGCAAGTAGGTCTATGTGCACAGAATTCTGTGTGTGTGTGTGTGTGTGTGTGTGTGTGTGTGTGTGTGTGTGCAGGGGCGGGAGGCCAGGAGGCAGGAGGGACACTCCTCAGGAAGTCCACTCACAAAGACCTGGTGGGCTGGGCCTTCCTTCCTGCCTCCCTTCCCAGGCTCACGCCACACAGCGCCTTGGCCCTTCAAGCTAGAGTTGGTGGCAGGGCCTAAGCCTATGCTGGTCGCCTGAGGAAAGGGAGCTCTGAGGGTGTGACCAAAATGCCCCTGCCTCTCCAGCACCCCAAGACAGACTCCAGCCCTATCCAGGCACTTTCTAGAGTCCCCCTCATTTCCTGCCCCTCACATATGTTCCCAGGGTACCCAAGGCCAGAAAGGGCTGGGAGCTGTCAGGGCCACCACCAGGCCCTGGGCCCCAGCTCAGCCTGAAGCCAAACAATTTGCTTTGTCCATGGGTCTTTATGCCAGACTCCATCAGCCCCCTCATCCCCTGCCTGAATCTCAGGGCAGCCCCAGTCCTCCTCACAGGAGCCCTAGGAAAGCCCAGAGTGGTGGTGACAGGCCACCAGCCCACACCTGGGGGATGTCTAGCAGACAGACCCCCTGAGCTGCCTGAGCCTCCAAGCCAGGCTTTGGGCTGCCTTCTGGGGCTGTGTTGCTTCCTTCCAGTGAAGGCCCAGCTCAGTCCTGGGCCTGTGAGAGAGGCTCACTGGGGCCTCATGCCCCCCAATGCTGGCTCCACGTGTATGTGTTGTTGGGGGTGTCGGAGGGATGACTTGGGCTTCACTTCCTATTTTTGTGGGCACCCCTCAGCTCAGGGCTGGGCTGGGGCGGTGCTGCCCTGCCTTGATCCTCACAGGCAGCCAGCTGGGCCTGTCTTTGGCCCTTGGCGGGAGTACTAGGTGTACCGGTTAATAATGTGGATTTTTTTCAATAGATGGAGTTACACATATGTTGATATGTATGCGATTTGATATGTATGCTATTTTGTTGTATTGCTCCTTCAGATTACCACTTGTTCTGATCGATGGCACACGCACTTTCTGAGCAGCACTTCAAAACGTAGGAAGAAGTGGAAAATTGGGTCTCTGAATGGTTTGCCTCAAAAGAAGAAAAGTTCTATTGGCAATATTAACCAGTTAATAGCCAATCCGCATTATTAACTGGTTAATACGGATTTTGTAATCAAAGAAAATACGATAATTTCAAGAGAAACATCAAAAGTGCTTTATTCAAAGTAATGCCCATCCCCAGCTACACATTTCCCCATCTTTCAGGTAATTCCACTTCGTACGTTTTGAAGTGCTGCTCAGAAAGTGTGTGTGCCATCGATCGGTACAAGTGGTAATCTGAAGGAGCAAGGTCTGGTGAATACAGTGGGTGGGTTAATACTTCCCAGGCAAGATCTTTTAACGTGTCTTTACTAGTAGAAGGGGGCTCCTCTCTCAGGTTCTGAGAACCATGTGGCTGAACTCTAGGGGGAAGGGAGCAGTTAGGTCTGTAGCTCCCCACCTTTCCTGCTTTCTCCGCCTTCCACCCCACCCCAGGCAGGAGCTCACCCACCCCATCTCTCCTGCTCTTCTATCTCTGCACTCAGTCTGCCCCCACATACGCTGCTTCTCGGTCTCTCCCCTCCCTCACTGTGTCTGAGGGGTGCTGGGGGAGATGAGGAGTCCCCAGGTGAGGCATGGGTCATCCTCCAGGGATGGTCACCTCTAACCGATCATAAGCCCTCAGCCTGCTCCTGCCTCAGGTGTCCCTGCTCAGTCTCGTCCTTCCTCCCCTCCCACCCATCCCCCTTCTTCAGCAGGGCACCCCTGCCTTGGCCCAGCAAGGACCGATGGGAGAACCTCCCAGGCCTGGGGCCCAGCTGCCAGCCCCCTACCCTGATTGTGCCACAATGTTTTCCCCTCTCTTTGCAGGCTCCAGCCCAGAGCGGTCCCCCATCCCCAGCCCACCCGGCTCCCCAAGGACCCAGGAAAGCTGTGGCATTGCCCCCCTCACACCCTCGCAGTCTCCCGTAAGCCTGGCGTGGGCATCTGTGTGGTGGGTGGCCTGAGTGGTGTGGAGGGGGTGGTGCTCCAGAAACAATACCTGGCAGGGCCGGGGCAGGGCTGGGGGTCCCACTGTGCCTCCTGCCCCTGCACACCCCAGTCATGCTCTCTGCAGAAGGGTTACCTTACGTGACCTTGCCCTTAAGGGGTAACAATTCTATTGAGGTGAGCCCCAGTACTAACACCGAAATACCCGCTCCAGGATGACATCCAGGGGCTGTTGCGGCTCACCCGCCTGGGGCAGGCGTATTTCTGAGCATATGGTTTTTTCAGGGTCTGCACTGGCCCTCCCATGGGTTGCCCCGCCCCCCTCCTGTCTAGTATAGCCCCACCTGAGGAAGAGGAGACACGCTGCTAAAAAATACAGAGTTTGGAAATTACTAGCTTGAACTATCCAGGACATAACCCTCCCCCAAGCTCGCTGGGTCATCTCACCCCAGACAGCCTCACCCAAATTATCGAGCCTGGGGGCCCCTTTGTTCTCAGGGAGCCAGGCCTAGGAGGGAGGCAGGGGCCACTCTGGGCACGTGCACGGGGCCTCCCCCCTCTGCCACAAAACCGACGGTCTGGTTGTGTCACTGTGGCCACAAAGAGCAACAGGGTCAAATAGACACAGGTCCATGTGCTGTGAAGCTGCCGGGAGGAGCGTAATTGCTCCCAGCTGGACCCGGGCTGTGACATGGTGTGAGATGGGGGTGGGCTAAGGCAGTGCAGACAGAAGGTGGGCAGAGAACCAGGAGCCAGGAAAACAGGAGCTTGAGCTAAAAGCTACGCAGGGCTGCCTGAGAGGCAGTTGGCATCTCCAGGGATCAGCCTGGAGCCTGGGAAGGGAGGGGAGCGCAGGCAGGCAGGTGGGAGGAGGTGAACCAGGGATGGGCTGGACCTCAGTCAGGAAAGGCGTGGGGGGGCTCCCATGTACACCCAGCCTGGCCCTTGGGCTGCTCCCTAACTCTAGGTCTTGCACTTGCAGAAGCCTGAGGCCCGAACCCCCCAGCAGGCCTCCTTCTCTGTGGTGGTGGCCATCGACTTCGGTACCACTTCCAGTGGCTATGCCTTCAGCTTTGCCAGTGACCCTGAGGCCATCCACATGATGAGGTGAGGGCCACTGGGCTGTGAGATTGGGTCGGGGGAGAGGGGTTGGGCCTGGTCCCAGAAGTACTGTCACTGAGGAGACATGGGGTGCCCTCAGAGCTCCTGCCACCCCAAGTCTGGGCTCCCCTCTGGGGTAAAAGTTTGGAGGATGGCCCTTGGCCTGTGCCCCCAGCCTCCATTGGAGCAGTTCCCTGCCCTCTGCAGGAAATGTTGGGCTTTATTTTTAATTTTAAAACATTTTATTGAGATATAAAAAACATACAGGAAAGTACACAAATATCTGGGCTTGCTTACAAACACATACTAGTACAACACATATATGTATGAATATATGTGTGTATGTGTGTTTTAAGTAAAAATGGAATATCATACAATTTGCCTTTTTTATTTTTTATTGATTTTAGAGAGAGAGGAAGGGAGAGAGAGAGAGAGAGAGAGAGAGAGAGAGAAACATCAATATGAGAGCATAACATTCATCGATTGCCTCTTGCATGCCCCCTACTGAGATTGAACCTGAAACCCGGGCATGTGCCCTGACCAGAATTGAACTGGCAACCTTTCGGTGCACTGGACAATGCCCAGCCAACTGAGCTCGCTGGCCAGGGCCAATTTGCCGATTTTAAACTTTCAACACTATTTTGTAGACATTTCATGTCAATACATAAAGCTACCACTTTCTTTTTAACATTGCATAGTATTCCATAGTATGGATGTTTCAAAATTTATCCATTCTTCTACTGATGGTTTCTTTTTTGTTTTGTTTTGTTTTTTATGGTGGGGGGGGAGGTCTCTAATTTTTCACTATTACAAAAAAATGCTGCAAGGAATCTCCTTCCTTGAAAACTTGTGCTGAGATTTCTATGGAGTAGATTCCTAGAGGCAGATTCCTAGGTCCAACATCTCAAATGAAATACAAGGACATGAAGGACCAGAGGGTTAACCGAATTGACACAAGTCACACAGTTGTTATGAAAGAGATGGTCAAAAAATCCATCCTGATGTCGAGTTTTATTCAAACAAAACATTTCTTTAAACACTCCCTCCAGCCCTGCAGACCCTGATCCTTAGAGTGTGTCTAAGTGGGGCTGCAGCCAATAGGCGGAGCTCTAGAAAACTCCAAAGCTCCCAACTCAGACTGGAATGGGGGGTCAGGGGCTTCCCCAGGGCCCCGGAGGCTGGATGGAAGGGTGGATGGAGGGACCGATAATCAGGTCCCTGCCCCACAGGTTCAGGGACTTGTCCTGGACTGTCGTTCCCCTTTCTCTGCTCCCCCATACCCACATGAAGCCACAACAGCTCTGAGCACTCACAGTCCCCTTGGGTCCGCACACAGCAGCTGAGGCCACACTGCGCCCCATGCTGGAGCCAAGGACACATGAAGGGACACTGCCTCTGTCCTGTGGAGGTGACAGTCACAGGAAGTCACTGGGGGACGTCCTGGCCTCCTCCCAAGCCTTCCCCACCCCTACCAGCCACCCAGTCCCATCACTTCTGTCTCCTTACTATCTCTGGAGTACCCATCCACTTCTCTCCACGGCCACCACCCTCTCTCACCTGGATGGTTTTTATTCTCCGCCCTCCCTCCCCTCCAGGCTGTTGCTACATGGGGACCTGTGACTTTCTCAAGGCCACTGTGATCATGCCTCTTCACTCCCCAACCTAACCCCCAGCAAGAGAGAATTCCGATATGGCATTTGATGTTCTTCTTTAGCTGACCTCAACACTCCTGTCTTTTCTCCTGCTGCATTTTGAGCTAACCTACAGCTAGTTCTCCTGTTCTTTCACATCTCTAAGCGTTGGCACATACTGTTCTTCTACCTGGATTCCCAGTACCTTCCTAAAGGGCCACAGTGGCAAGCTTGGCCTAGAGGAGTCAGGAAATCGGGGAAGATTTCCAGGTCTGAGAACTGGGCAGGGAGTTCTGGTTGGAGGTCTGCATGTGCCTGTGAATAGGGAGGTTTGGAATGTCATTCGGGTTTTGGGGGACCTGGCAGAGGTGCAGTCAGCTGGGGTATTGCTGCTGAGGTGGGTCAGATAGGAATGTCATGAATGCCTTAAAGGAGCTTGGTTGTGGAGGACGGCCTTGAGCGAGGCGAACTAGCTGGCTGGGAGAAGGCCTCTGCTAGGATGCTGGAGAGACACATGAGGAAGCCAGACCCAGGCAGATGGATGGATGATGGCCTGCTGCTTCGTGTTAAGGGTGCAGGGAGACGAGGTCAAATGACGAAGGGAACCCAGAATGCCGGGTGCGTCCCGTAGCCCCACGAATAGGGAGGATCCAAGAGCAGCATTCATGGAGATTTAACTGGATGCCAAGCACCATCTTTCTTTTCACAAGAACCCTAAGAGGCAGGTACTATTATTATTCCCATTTTACAGTAGGGAAGACTGAGACTGGGGGCGGCTAAGTGGCCTGCCAAGGTCACACAGCTCACCCCAACGCCATTATCCAACCCTCCCCCCCCCCCAAGTGAGGGTTGCTGCTGACCCCACTGATAGCCCTGTCTCTACAGGAAATGGGAGGGCGGGGACCCCGGCGTGGCGCACCAGAAGACCCCCACCTGCCTCCTGCTGACCCCGGAGGGTGCCTTTCACAGCTTTGGCTACACTGCCCGTGATTACTACCACGATCTAGACCCAGAGGAGGCTCGGGACTGGCTCTACTTCGAGAAGTTCAAGATGAAGATCCACAGCGCCACTGTGAGTCACATTCTGGCTCAGGACCAGTTCCAGCCAGGGAAGCGGGGTCAGGAGGGGAAGGGGCGGGCCTAATGGAGGGCGGGCGGGGTGTGGTGGCTAAGGGACGGAGCTTGGAAGTAAAGAAGGGATGAAGGCGTGGCTGAGGGTGAGGATGGGGTTAGCGGAGAGGCGGGGCTAAAGAGGGGCTGGGGACAGAACTAAAGTGAGATTATAGAGCGAGTGGGATGGTGCCCAGAGGGTAAGCACCAGGAAATGGGGTGGTTTAAGAGAGAGGTCGTCAGGAAATGGGGGCAGAACTACGGCCTTCTGCAGAGTGGCCCTGTGTCCCTGCCAGGATCTCACCTTGAAGACCCAGCTGGAGGCGGTAAACGGAAAGAAAATGCCTGCCCTGGAAGTGTTCGCCCATGCCTTGCGCTTCTTCAAGGAGCATGCTCTTCAGGTGCGCTGCGGCCCCACCCCCAGGCCCACCCTTTCCCCTTAGCCCATCCCTGGCCCCTGTCAGAGGTCAGAGGTCATCTTCTCCACTCCCCTGCCTTCTTGTCTGGAAGAGCCTGCTTGGGCCACATATGTGTTGGTGGAGGGGTTAGCGTTAGGGATTTTTCCAACTCTGCTGGAAAGCCCTTCCTGAGGCTTGATTAGTTCTTCCAGCTCCCACAGAGGGCTGAGGACACCCCACTCAAGCCAGCGCTCATCTCACTGCCCCTCCTGCCCCAGGAGCTGAGAGAGCAGTGCCCCTCGCTGCCAGAGAAGGACACTGTGCGCTGGGTGTTGACGGTGCCCGCCATCTGGAAACAGCCCGCCAAGCAGTTCATGCGGGAGGCTGCCTACCTGGTGAGGACACGCAGGCAGAGAGCAGTGGATGTTGCTCCGGAGGGCCCCAGGGATGGCCCCATACATCCCCTCATTCACCCCACCACCCTTGGGACCAGAGATGCATTGTGGGAAGACCTCCAGCCTTTACCTGCTGGGCATTTTGGCGGTTTGTTGCCACTGGGGGAGGGAGGTGGCTGCAGGAACAGAGGACTGAGGGACAAGAGGCACTGCCCAGGCCAGCTTAGCCAGTGTCTTAGGTCAGGTTTCCTAAAAGCAGAGCCCAGGATGGGAATTGTGCATTGGTCTATTGAGGAAGGGCTCTCAGGAGAAAGGGGGTGAGGGAAGCAGGACAGGAGAAAGAGCTGAGCAGGGATGTGGATGTGACCTCAGCCTGACCCCATGGAGAGCTCTGGAGGGAGAACTGTACCCCCGTGTTGGCCACAGTGAGGCAAGGGGACCAGCTTTTTGTTACTGGTTACTGGGTAGAGGGGGATCCTCTCCAAGTGAGGCAGTTCCCATTCGGCTGAAGGCAGCTCCAGAGAAGGGGGCAGCTGTGAGCCAAGAGCAGCCACACTCCCAGTAGCTGGGCAGGGTACTAAGAACATACACTTCATCCAGCATCAGTATTTTCAGGAATCCACCACCCCACAGCCCCAACCACTGTGAGTTCCTGAGCACAGGAACCTCTGAAGGGAGGTGGTCTGGGCCAGTGTTTGCTGGTTTTCCTCCCATAAGAGATACCCGAAGGTCTGGAGAGAGATGGGTGGAGCTCAGGCACCGCCTCTCTAGTAGAGATGGGGGGAGAAAGGGAACAGCCTTCCAGAGGAACACTCATTGCTTGGTCCTGACCCTGGGGCTTTGGAGGACGCCCTAGGACCGACAAAAGGGGTCTCGGGGCTGCCTGTAGACCCCTTGGAGGATACCAGGGCCCCAGATGGGTTAGGCATGTGCCCGGGTGCCTATGCTTGTCACTGGAAGAAGCTAACCCTAAGCCTACTGGGCATCCCCCTGCAAAGACCAGAATGAAAGCGAGGATGTGCCCAGCTAGTACCCCCCCCCCCCCAGCCATAGTGCCCCTCCTCCTGCCAGTTTACCCACTCTGCTTCCTCCCACACCGTTCCCTGGCTGCCAGCTCAGGAAGGGCTGGCCCTGGCAGGAAGTCTGGATACCTACCCCTCCCCACCCTCCATCTCGTCAGAATCCAGGGAATCCCACAAAATCATAAAAGACTTTCCACAGGGATTCTCCCATCCTGATGCAGGAAGTAACAGCTCCCAAATGTTTTTCTCCCCCCAACTGGCCTGTCTTGGTGCCTGGAATTTCACTAGGAGTTTCCTTCCTCCTACATGAGATTCCCCAGAAATAAAGTTCTCCTGGGAGTGGGGAGGCCTGTAGCCACTGTGACACCAGCCTGGTGAAGAAGGAGGGCTCAGTAAGCCAAAGGGGTCCCCACCATCTCATTTGATTGATGGTC